TTATCTTTCTCCCACAGAGCAGCTGGTAGGTAGACACCCCTGACGTTTTGATTAGCAACCAAATGCTGTGACCACTGTACCGCCAGAGCTCCTTTATGACATAATACTCTATTAAAAATAAATTGAAATCAAAATTAACAGTGTGTTCAATATTGTTCCTTAATAAGTTTTAAGTCATTTTATCTATTCTAGTTATGTTTACAAAATGAACAATTTGCAAAACAAAATCGAATATTTTCTATATAGAGAGAAATTTATAATTTCGTTTTCCTGAAATATGGTTGTTATTGTAAAATGAATTTTGAATTGTTTAATTTCTAATCACCTAGATATTTTGACTGTCACATCTGAAGGTACTTTGACTAATTAATTCCTCATCAGCCTAACTGTGGACACCCCCACAACTCTTTGAGATTGTGAATGCTCCCAAGTAGAATAAAACAAATGTAGACATAGTAAGGAATGATCTGACTTGAAAGGATTATTTTAAGGGAGAAAAAGGACCATAACAATAGAAAAAGAGGGAATCTTACAGTAAGAACACTTTGAGAATGAAGTCTGAAATTCTCTAAGAGGATAGGCAAGAAGGGTTTGTCTTTTGTGGTTAGTTTTGGCTGCCATTGCCATAAGTCCTCCCCATGATTGATTGCAGATAGGACCATTGTGAACCAGAATTAGATCAACAGGCATATCTTCTTAATTTGTATTAGTCTTATAGTTCCTCTGCAACCTGTTCAGCTTCATAGCAATACACAAGCCTTCACTGAAATATGGGTGGTGGCTGTTTGAAATGCATTGAGAATGAAACCCATTTCTTCTGCATGGAAGGCAAGAATTTTATCATTGAAACACCAATGCCTCATTCACTTTTATAAGGAGATTAAAGCAAATTTAAAAGAACCAGTTGTGGAATGGACTATGAACTGAAATGTCTTAATCATATAGTAAATGAGCAAAGGTTTTACTCTGAGGCAAGTGTATTCTTTGGAAGGAGCCCTTCCAGAGGAAAGAAAGTGTGTCATAATCAGAAAGTAGAAAGAGAAAGTTTTAGCTGATAACAATCTATTTTCCACAAAGGGTCTTAATAAGGGGCTGAACACTGCCTTGGGAGCCCTTCTGGGGCAGTAGTGGTTAAGCTCTCAGATGCTAACTGTAAGTTCAATGGTTCGAACACAATAGCTGCTCCCTGGGAGAAATAGCAGTCTACTTTCATAAAAATGTACAACCTTGGAAAGTTTATGGGACAGTTCTATTGTGTGATGTATGGTTGCTAATTCACCACCATCAAGTCAATTTTGACTCATAGCAACCCCTCCTTGGGTTTCCAAGGCAGTATCTCTACAGAAGTAGATTGCCCAACCTTCCTTCTGAGGAGTGGCTGGTGGGTGGGTTTGAAGCCTTCTAGTATGCAGTCAAATGCCTTTGGCACTACACTACCAGAGTTCTCATATGGTTGCTATGAGTCTGCAATTACTTGATGGCAATGTATTTTTTTTTTTTGTATGTTTCTGTTATTATTATTATTATTTTCCCCTAATGCTGGCTCAGGCTGAGGATAGACCAAAATCTAGGGACCTGAAGTAAGTATAGAAGTAGAACTAAAGCTTGGTTGAGTACTTTGTTCTAACTTGTCAGTGGGGACAAGAAGTTCAGTTAATTATTATTATTATAATTAAAGAAGAAAAAAATGGGAATATAGACAGTCTTGTGTATGGCCTTTTCACAGGTAATTGAGGAAGGAATCCCTAGGTCTTATCTAAATCATGTGGAAAAGTTGTTTCCTTCCATTATTCTGTTCCCCAAAACACACAAGTGTAGGGGGCTTTCTTAGCCTTCTCTTTTTTTTTATTCCCCGCAGATCATATGTCTCAGGGAAAATTGAACAGTTACTTACTTGGCTCTTGAATGCAATGAACAAATCCTTATCTGATGTTGACAAGAAAATAAAAAGAAGTTTGGGAACTATAGTAGAAAGGAGACCTCTTTTCTGAACATTCTTTAGCATGCCTTTGTTTTCTTCAGAAGGAAATCCAAACTTCTTGATATTAATAACAATGCCACTTACTGTGCTCTAACATCATGATTTTTGTTTTCTCATTTAATATTCCAACAAATATATGATGTTACTATTGTTAATAATATATATATATATTTAATTTATTGAATTTATCATATTGTTTAAGAAGTTACAAATGCTTATCCCTTAAGCATGGTACTAAAAAAGGAAATTTAATATGTTAAAATTACATGCCAGTTTGAAATGTTTAATATAATTTAATTAAGTAGTAAAATCTCCTTTTAAGGTGATCATAAAGTTTGCTTGATTTGAAATAGAGTAAAACAATATGAAAACTAAATTTAAACACTTATCGAAGAAAGAGGACTTTGAATTTATATTTTGCAGCTCTCATAAACTTCTTATTGAGTTTTATAAACCAAATTAATTTCCAAACTTTTCTATTCACACAAGTCATCTTTCAGGGCATAAAAAAAGCTTGCATTTAACATTAGTTTCTGCAGGCAGTGGCTCAGAACTCAGCCTTCCTCAGCTGAAAAAAATATTGCTGCTATTTCTTGCTTCTAAATGCATGAGCTGCAGGAAATTTTGGCATGTTGAACATTTGCAAAATACTTGATAAATATGCCTCCTTGTATGTGTTAATTCATGGGAAGAATTCTATAGCTTTCCTCAAATTAGAACAACTATTGAATTGAGTGTTGCTTGGAAGAATCCTCCCCAAACACTTGAGTCTTTGGAGGGGTTTCCAGTATTCCATGTCTAGTATACCTTCTGGGAGTTTCATGTTGTCATATGAATGAGTTACTGTACTTTACTGTACTTTCCCAAACCCACTTCTGCTCCTAATTGCCTCTCCACTGGCAACTGTGGCCTGCACTGGAGAAACATCATTAAAAGCATAATATTAATTTTATGCATGTTTTTAATTTAATGGAATGTATGTTGAGGATAATTTTATGTCTCATTTTAGTAGCAAAATCCATAAACTATTTGGTAATGTGGCATTCATCATCACAAAAAAAATTTTCAAGATCTATCCTGAAGTACAATGCTGTCAGTGTTAGGATAATATCCACATACCTACAAGGAAGTAGTTAAGACTACTATTACTCAAATTTATGCACCAACCACCAAAGCCAAAGATGAGGAAATTGAAGGTTTTTGTCAACTTCTGCAGTCTGAAATTGATTGAACATGCAATCAAGATGTGCTGATTATCACTGGTGACTGAAATGCAAAAGTTGAATCACTGGTAGTTGGAAATTTTGGCCATGGCGATAGGAATAACACTGGAGATCACATGATAGAATTTTGCAAGACCAATGACTTATTCATTGCAAATACCTTTTTCAACAACACAAACTGTGGCTATACATGTGGACTTTACATTTTATGTACATACACAGGAATCAGATTAACTACATCTGTGGCAAGAGGGGATGGAAAAGCTCAATATCTTCAGCCAAAACAAGGCCAGGAGCTGACTGTGGAACAG